GTACCGGGCGGGATGGAAACCCCAACAAGCCGGCCCCTCATGTTACACATGTTGTTGCTTCTGATGCTCTAGACTCTAGAGGGGTCAGGCGTACTTCAGGGTTTCGTAAAATTTTTATATTATGAATATTTAGTGCACATTAAAGCTCCTGGGTGTATTTCATATTTAAAGTTCTTAACAGAACTGGGGTTCAATTACATTTGGCCAAATTCTAGTCTGGTTTTTTTTTTTTCTATTTGCTCTTGGACATTCTGAGGTGAGAAAGAAATAAATATTCTAAGGTGATCATTTGTTTCTTGACTTTAGGTTTCAAGAGAGGGTGGCCCTGCAGTGCCTGAATCATGTCCAGATAACAGATTCATAAATGGTTCTCTTCTCCTTGTTGCAATTTATTCTTTGTGTATTATGTGCTGTAGATGGAGCCAGTAACATTCTAGAAGATGGAAGTGGATGTAAATTTGCTAACCTGCATTTTTATTGACTAGATACATTATAAATTAAAAATATAGTCCTTATCAAACCCATAACTTAATAAGTGAGCTTTAATCCATCTTGTAGGAAGGATGTTACCCAAGAATAATGCAATAAAGAAATAAAAGATGTAGATTTCTCTTTCTAATCAATTCTACTCCATCTGGTTTATTTTGCTGTACTGGTGAAAGCAGGCTTTCTAGTCCAACAGGTGGGAGAAGGCTGGAATTTTGTCATTTACTAGCTCTTTGAGACTCAGTGGATTCACTTGTCCCCTCAGCACTGTCACCTCAGGAGGTCATGCCAGTTACAGCTTACAAAGGCCGCGGTACCAGGGCTGGGGTGAAGTAAAAGGCAATCAAAAACAAGGAGTAAACTGAAGGCCAGCCAAGGCTGATTATTAAAAACCAAAGGTTGGGTATAGCAGAACATTTTCTTTTTAGATCAGTAGTGTTTAGTTTTACCCTAGATATCTGGGCTCTCGAGTCTCTGGTCCGTGGTTGTACAAACAATGTCCAGTATGGGTTCCTCCTCATGGACTGGATCTTAGATTGGCTAACTACTCCCACCCATTCTGTGTCACCAGTGTCCTAGCATATTTTTGCAGGTGGGGTAGATTGTAGGACAAAAGTTTTGTGGCCGGGTTGGTGCACATGTTTACTTTTCAGTACCCTGACGAATACCTTCCCTGGCTGAAGACACTAGAATACAGGGGTGAGGACTCCAGTGGCTTACCCAGTCATCACCAGAGAGGTTTCCTCTGGGAGCAGGTGGGTGCAGATGCAGAGACCCACCGCCAGACGCTTTGCGGAGAGAGTCTAAATCAGAGATATCCATCAAATTCCTGCCCTCAGAGCTCATGAATTCCCATGGCAGAGGAGGCAGAATGATTGTAAGAGCCAGAGGGACAGAGGAGAACAAAGCCCTCCAAGTCAATCAAACAAAGTGTATATGAGCTGACAGCCATTGAAGCAGCAAGCACAGGGCCTACGTGGGTCTGTTCAGGTCCTCTGGACTCTTGACTGTGAGAACAAATGAGAAAGAGTTGACCTCTGACTCTTAGGCCTGCTCTTGGGACTCTTCCTCCTGTTAGGTTGCTGGGTCCAACTTTGATAAGATAGTTTAGTTTCATCTTTTATTTTTGTCATGTTTGATTGTTGTTGCTTAGAAGTCTGTTCTTTTCTTAATGAGAGACAGAAAGAGTGGCTCTGGTAGGGAGGAGAGGTGGGAAGAACCCGAGGAGAGTAGAGGGGTGGGAAACTATAATCAGAATGTACTGCATCTATTTTCAGTAAAAGAGAAAAAGAATACAGGAAAAATGTTTTTAAAAGAGAAAAGAAAATAGAAAACAAAGTTGGAGTCAGCACATGCCTTCGTTTAGAGGAGCCTCGTCTCCCATGGGAATGACTCTGGAGCCAACTTTGCCTTTAGTTCCCTGAAGACACCTTGAACGGAGAGACTGAGAAGCTCCATGAGACAGATGACTCAAGACACAAAGGGTGTGGAGCCTAAGTCACCTTAATCTCTCAAGCGACAATTACATAAGAATCGATTGTCCCAACCTGAAGAAACAGCTGAGGAGGTATCTGTTATGTTCCTCAGAGGTAAATCTCAGTGTGCTGCTGATTATAAAGTTTATGGTAATTCCAGATGAATTTTAAGCTTCATAAACTTATAGAAATGATGTCACAGACATTGGCTTGAAGTTTGACTTATAATGTAGTTGAGGTCTGCGTCAGGAAAAAATTGCTTTTAGTTCAGAATCTTGACCAGCAAGATTTTCAACACTTGCACTTAAATCAGAAAGCAAATATTCAGTTGTAACATGATTACCATGATGGCCCAGTTTCCTTTCCCCTAGTTTGCTGACTTTGTGTCAGGCATCACATGTGGACTGCTAGCTTTCACAACAGTTTCATGAAGTCACTAACCTAGTCTGAACCTAAGGAAAGTAATGCTGAGGAAGTAAATTCTTCTTGATCAAGTGTAGCAGAGCAGGAAATGGAAACCAGGAAGGCTTTAGTGAAATAACACAAACTTCTTTACATTTATGTCCTGAGTCACCAACACTTCAGAGGACAGAGAAGTGCTGGGTTTCTTGTCTCTTGTGATCTCACTTTGAGAAAAACAAGGATAACCAGATCTTTAGCTTGCATTTCAAATATCTAGAATCTTGTCTTACACGTGGTATATATGTATCTTATTGTATAGGAAATGTGCAATAAAGGAATTAATTTAATTTTCATTTGAAAAATAGGTCTTAATATATTATGTGGAAACATTAACTTCTGCCATTGATACATAGATATATATAATATTTTGCTATGGACTAATAAATTTGATAATTCATATTATCTGCAAGAATGGAAACATACTTATTAGATCAAATATGAATAATGTGAATACTGAACATTTTAACACTCTTACGTGCATTTTAGATGTCAGTTATGATGTTGGCAATGATTTGGGTCACAGTCATTTTCTGATACATAATTTTTATCATGATCTCACTACATGTTACAGAATTAGCAAACAACCAATAGAATATTCCTATGATAGTCTCCTAAACCTACAGATCTCTCTGTATTTTGCACCATTGTTTTCAGTTGCTCACTGAATAGCTTATGGATGTTCCACAATCACCTAAATGAACAGTTCATAACCCCTTTCCCCGACACACAGTGTTTCTCATGTTGGCAAACATTATTACCTACATTATGCACTCAGAAGTTAGCTTCACTTTATCCTTTTCAGTTATGGCTCAATACAAAAGGTAATCAATCAATCCATACTCTACTGCCTAAGTCTTTTCCTTTGTAATCTCTATATCTCAGCTCTGACTTGACAATTGCCTCATTGGTGATACTTGAAATACCTTTCAACTGGTCTCCTTGATTTTGTAACTAATCAAATGTTTAATTAGCAAGATTTAGGGACAGCTTACAATGTTCTAGTGATTGCTTTAGGTGCTGGGCACCCAGTAAACGAAACAAAATGAACACACTAACTGCAATGGGCTAAATGTTACTGTTCTTTTAAAATTCATGTATTGGACTCCTATCCTTCAAGATCATGTGGCATTTTAAGGTAGAGTTGGTGAAGGTGGTTAGGATATGAAGAGAATTAACTCACTGATGGGATCAATGTCCTGATAGGAG